TAAGAATAAGGAATTTCTACTTAAAAATAAAATCACTTCTTATTACTATTTTCAAATACGGCTTCACGTAACAAAGAAAAAAAAAAAACGTTGTTATTATTATTATTTTTTTTTTACCGAAAATCGGTATTACAATATTGTTATAAAACACTGTCAACAATTTTGGAATAAAACCATTCAACTTCTATTACATAATATGTAAGCGGATTATAGCTGTCAAAAAAATGATTTAAAAAATTAATGTCTAATTTATTTAATGATCTTATTACAGATTTTATCACGAGTGTTTGTTGCCCGAGTTTGTAAATTCACAATTTGAAAAAGATTATTAGTAAGTGAGATTAAAAACTCAGAATGAATCATAAAAGAGCAAGAAGATAAACAACGCAATAAAAAAAAAAAAAGAAGAAAATAAATTACTAAGTGCTAAAAGTCAATATAATGTTTAAAATTGGTTTCCTAATAGTTAGTTATTTAAAATTTTGTCCTATGAAGTTATACAATTTTACCTATCAGTTAATATTAGAAAACGCTATGTGTAATTATTAAATTATTAATTCTTTAGTTGTCTAAGGAGTTTTCATTATAATTGAAAAAAACTGGAAAAAATAACAGATTTAAGGCAAACATTTAGCGGTTATTTAGCTATTCGTAGGCATTTACTTTTTCTAGAATTTTAAATATACATTTGGTAAGTATTGTGTCGTTAAAACTTTTGGACCGAACAGAAATGCTTGAAAATTGAGTTTAAATATTTTGAAATAGGTTAATTATAAATTGTATTTAATGGGAAGAAACAAGTTAAGTAACACACAAGAAACAAACAAGTACTAAATTATCACTCCAATAATAAATATGGGGATCGTTTTGAGAAACAGACTTTTCTTTTTTCAACCCATTTAGTTTGAACTAAATTAATTCTAGCTAAACCACCAAAATTAGATTAGTACTATAAATCACCCTGTATGTAATTGTATAAATAGTATTATTGTTGGGGATGTGTTTTATACGATTTTGACTTCCATACCCCCGTCATCACCGTCTGTTAGTACGTGGGCGAAAATCTCGAGAGCTCCTACACTTATTTTAATTCCATATCATTCGTTGAACAAAAAAAACATGACATATTGTAACAGAAACAAGTCAGTTTGTCGAAAATTTGACTCCAGTCACGGAGTTCTGGAGTTCTGCGACCTACGTGTAAAATACGACGTATCTGTTGCATTGCGGCGCATTATATTCTTTTTCTTCTTGGCTTTATGGATCTCCAAGAATTCGCCACCACCACCTTGCTCTGTCCCGAATTGTTTCCCTCCAATATCCGAAGTCTAGTGTCCTCGTGTGTAGGCGCAACTAGAGCCTTTATGTTGGGGGTTGAGGGGGTTAAAAGTACCAAGATAACACAAATTTATAGGGGCTACTCTCCCACATCTCTATCTACTATTTTACAAACACTCACTACTTACTACTATAAGTTCATTTAAAATTTTAGCAAGACTAGCCTTCATCATTCCCCCTCCCCCTCCAAACAAATCCATAGTATTTCACATTAATAACGTATATATATATATATACAAATTTAACTCTATGATTTAAATTTTATTTTAATACAAATTTGTTGTCATTATTACATTACACTTCTAAAATATCTTATCATTTATCATGTTATTATCAACCACGGGTTTAGATAATACTATCTAAAGCTGTATTATTAACAACATCATGACGGACGTCGGACAAAAATATTGGCTTATCGGGTTATTTAGAGTTTTGGACCGTAGGTAATAAAAACTCGGTCGAAAATACAAAAAACCAAATGAAACACCACTGGTATAACTTATAATACACTGTTCAAATATAATTTTTAGTTATCAAAGAGTTTTTAAGGAGTATATGTATTTGTTTGTTTTTTTTTTCTAACTAATCTAACAGCTTATTAAAACCGATGAAAGAAGTATTGCTTTTGTTTGATACGCTTAACTAAGTAAAGGATCTGTCTAGATTACAGTACAAACATATAGGTTTTTTTTCTCCTAATAACTAAACTAAACGTTTTCCACGGATATTTTTTTATTCAGCCGGTACCAGGTACCAGAATATTAATCGTAAAATAAGAATAATGATATGTTATTTTGTTTGTGTTGGATTGGCAATAATTTAATCTTTGACTATACTAGAATTTACAGTGAAAATTCCCGTTACTCGGGAATTTTATATGAATTCCGGAAATATTCCCTAGGTTTTATAAACGCGTGTATAGTTTTACCTAAATTTTACCACACACTCCGTATTTTTATTTTCCTTAAATTGTATTCGTTAAACAATTACTGAAATATACTTATTTGTTGTTTTGTACGTTATACAATTGTATACCATCACAAGAGAACGTTCACCTTTTCCCTGTTATCAATATCGAAAAATAGTTTATCTTTCTCAATTGATTTATTATGAATAAAATTAGTATTTCGTGGACGTGCCTACACGGCGAATATTGATTTTTTTTTTTTTTTTTTTT